GCCAGACTGAGAAGCGTGATTCTTCACTCCAGAGAATACATCTCCACTGCTCTAGAGTCCAATGGCGGCGTGCTTTACACCACTGCATCCGATGCTTTGCATTGCACTTGGTGATGTAAGGCTTGGATGCAGCTGCTCGGCCATGGAAACCCATTCCATGAAGCTCTCTATGCACTGTTGTTGTGCTAATCTGAAGGCCACTCAAAGTTTGCGGGTCTTTAGCTATTGACTCTGTAGACAGTTGGCAACTTCTGCACACTGTGCACTTCAGCATGCGCTGACCCCACCTTGTCATTTTCCGTGGCTTACCACTTCATGGCTGAGTTGCTGTTATTTCCAGGTGCTTCCACTTTGTTATAACACCACTAACAGTTGACTGTGAAATATTTAGTAGCAAGGACATTTCACAGTTGGACTTTTTGCACAGGTGGCAACCACCACAATCACTGTACCACGCTTGAATCCACTGAGCTCCTGAGCGTGACCCATTCTTTCACAAATGTTAGTAGAAGCAGTCTTCATGCCTAGATGCTTGCTTTTATACACCTGTGGCCATGGAGGTGATTGAAACACCTGAATCCAATGATTTGGAGGGCTGGCCCAATACTTTTGGCAATATAGTGTGTATATATATATATATATATATATATATATATATATATATATATACACATATAAAGCTGTATTTTATGGGTAATTGGGAACAAATTCCTTCCTTTACATTTTTTACCCTTGACTTTCTATGAAGAGTTCTTACTGGCACATTGCTGGTTATGCTGCACATCTTGTTTCCATCAGTAGCTCAGCCCACCAGGATTATCCAGTAAAGCCAGGTTTAGTGCTGGTTCAGGACAGAATGGTGATCATTAAGAAACACAGGCAGTAGCAGTACATGGTGCTCACCTGACACCTCTCCCCCCTTCTCTCCAGCCATTAAACCTGACATGTTAACATATTGTTTCAGACTGATAATCCTTAAGGTTTTAAGGTCTATTGAATTAATCTCAAAATCCACAACCCCTAGAAAAATCCTTTGAACAAGTTCCAGAGCCTGAATAAAAGAAGAAAAATAATGTGAAATGCCAAAAACAGCACTGTATCCTCCCCGGGATGAGTGTCATTCATACCAGAGCAGTCACATATGTAGTACACATGGAGCATGGAAGTCAGGCGGTAGATAATGGTTCACAGTTATCTAAACACGTCCCAGAGGTGAAACAACCCAGCAATGGGCAGCAGATTAGCACTACCTGAGCTCCTTATCTGCTCTTCCCTCCATGTTAGAGGCTTTGTATGGAGGTGTGCAGTATAAAAAATAGCTGTAGTCAGTGCAAGGACAAGGTCATCTGCCACGCAAGACGAAGATACCAAATGCCCCCCCCCCCCCCCCCCCCCCCACAAAAAAATGTATGAGCATTATGCACCAGCAAAAATCCCCTCCCTCCCCCCCAAAAAAATTCTAGCAATAATCTTCACACTTACCCCCTAACATTATTCCCCTTTGCAAGCCAACATTCTCCCTAAACAAACATTCCCCCTCTTCCAGTACAGATCCCCCCTCCCAGCTCAAATCCCCTCCCTTACCAATTTCCCCCTCGTAGCACAAATCCTCTACCAATCAAATTTCCCCTCTGAGCATAAATCCTTTAACCCCCTCCAAATCCCCCTTTCCCAGCATAAATCCCCCTCCCAAATACCCTACCTTAGCAATAACCCCCCCAAAGTTTCCCTCCTAACACAAATCCCCCAATCATCCCTACTAGCACCAATCCTCTCCCCCAAATCCCCCTACCTAACAGAAATCTACCCTCCTAGTACAAATCACCCCCTCCAAACCACCCCTTCTAGCACAACCCCCCCAAATCCCCACCGCCCAGGGCAGCCGTCCCTCCTGCCCACCCCTTGTCCCGGGCCCCCTGGTTGTAGTGTCCTATCATGAGTGTATGCTAAAAGCAGTGGAAAAACACTCCCGTTCTCTCAGCATGCAATAAAAAGCAGGAGGCAGAATTGTGAGTTAAAGTGGTATTAAAACCAAAAGCAAACATTTAATGTTATTGCAGTGTACCGATCCTAATACAATGCACACACAAGAGAGAATATTGTACGAAAAACACCGATTTCGGAGCGATCATCCAATAATCTGATCATTAGTACACAGCTTTCAAAGAGCCAATCACTACAATTCGAAATTATCCAAACGGACCAGCACAAAATTTTTTCTCATACAACAATAGAACAAACAATTTTTGTTTAATCAGTACAATATTCATTTGTAAAAAAAAAAAAAAAGAACAAGTGACTAAGACCGCGCATGCTCAGAAATGAAAGAATACATTAAAATACAATACATTACATCATCATGGGAAGTTGTATTCTGTATTTTTGGGTAACTTCTTAATTTTTCGATATGAGACTAGTATGCAAAAAAAAAAAAAAGGCAATCATTAATTCAATATTCTCATTGTGTGTACGAGGCATTAGATGTGATAGATGCATTCGTTTTCTTTTTTAGTATTTTTTTTCTTTTTTTCCCTGGTGATCCTGCCACTAAGGTAGGTAATAAATTAATTTTCTTTCCTGCAAGCATGGGTTGCAGGAAAGACAATTGCTCTACTCAGTGTTAATCAGGGAATACATCCTGCAGCACTATTGCGCCTCCGGAGTGATTGCATGAAAAAATTCTGACAGTCTGGTTGTACTGAAATCAATCGATGCATCAACTTCAGTACAACCAGCCTGCCCATAGATGGATAGAATCTCTCCCAGTCCCTGCTGAACTGGCCAAGATTTGATCCATCTATGGCCAGCTTAAGTCTTGTGCTTGTCAACAGAACAAGCTGTCCTTCAAATGTATCCATTAAGAGTGCTGAGAAAACCATTTACCACTAACAGGGGTGCTTACAATGATCAGCTATTTATGTAAAACCTTTATCCCAAAAGGAAAGGAAACGGTTTGCTGTAACTACTTACAAAGTGTAAGCTGGAGGTTAGCTTCAATTTTGGTCTGTCTAAATCTTTTAGCCCATCTAACATTCCCCTCCCCCAAGGCTGACAATGCAGCTGTCCAGAGGTGCCCCTGTGCTCCTTCAATAAGAGTGGGGGCACTCTCATACAGGAGGTGTGTTACTGGTCAGGTCACCAGGTGAAAACTGAGGGAAGGTGGCCTACAAATAAGAAAAACTAATGCAGCCATCACATCTAATGATTTTTAAGCTGCAATTTATTAAATTTTTGGTTTTGCGTTTAATATCACTTTAAGCTGTCCAGAGATTGCTAGAATTTTTAAAAATAATTCTTAGGAAAGGAACATTTAAAGAAAGTTTGTTTGCTTTTCTAATCACTAGTGGGGTCAAATGGGCAATTCAAAAGAACAGGATGGAATTTTTTTCTCAAACGAACGAATTACTAGCAGTGTATTTGGTTTTCATTCTGGAAAGTTAATTCATTGCAATATCAAATATGAAAAGCAAACAACAGCTTTCAAATAACATTCGAATGTTCAGAGAATTTTCGTGCAAATTTACCTAAGACTTTTCCTAGGAATTTTTGTTCTAAATTTGTTGGAATACAGTGCTCATGTATTTTTATATAACTACATCCATATCAGTTTTCAGATATTTTCTTTAACCAGAAGATGGCAGTGTTTATAAGTTTGTAGCTACATCTATGGTTAAACTCTATGTCTTTTCTCAATAATAAAGTTCCTGTTTCCTGTTTGCAGAGAAGCAGCAGATAAAATGTAGCACTACATACAGAATTTCTAACAAAATTCTATTCATCTATGACCACGTTTACACTCATGGTGTACCTATAAGGCCTATTAAATACCGTGGGCTTAAAGTGGAATGCAGAGCTCAATATCTACTTTGGCCACTTACATCTAGAACAGGGCTGGAATGATTTCCAACTTTTGTAATGAAAGCGCACAGTCAACATTTGATGTGTAAAAGGTTTTTGATAACATGCAACGTCAAGTGATCTTGAGACAGATAACAGCATAAAAAGTATTCTACAAGAAAAAAAAAAACACACACACAAACTACTTAATAATATGAGACTTATTAAAAAAAACTGTGGCAATGCCTATAACAACCTAATATTTTTAAATAAATAACAATCCAGTTATAACAATTTTGTTTTTCATTTTGGAAAGAGCACAGAAGAGTTAGAGCCTCTGCCAGGTTTTTTATTGCCATTTGTGTTCCTGTTGGTAAGATGTGACCTCACTTCTTAGGACAGGAAGTGGTGAGAAATCTTTTTAATGGGGACACAGGTAAAAACAACAACACATATTTAGCAGAGAAAGGGAAGGGTTACAATCACTAATGCTTTCAATGCTGTCTGCGACTTCCTGTCTCAGTGATACCCTCAGCCCACATTTTTTTGTACAGGCATTACATGAACAAAAAATGAAGGAGAATCTCCACAATGGGGTTAAAGACAGGAATGAAAACCTTTAAAAAAATGTTCTCCACTGTATACAAATCTAAAAAAAAAATGTTTTGGCTGGAGTTAGGCTTTAAAGTGTTACTAAACCAACACCAGTAAAATCAGTCCGTATATGCAGTAAAGCATGTTTATTATACTCACTGTGGAACCTAAGAGGTTAATCCTCTGCATTGTGTAAAAGCACTGTTTGATCCTGACTTCTCTGATCCTCCCCTTCTTCCAGTGTCCTCCTCTTATCTTCCAGTGTCCTCCTCGATCTCTATAGTGTGTGGAGCCACTCTGCACATGCTCCGTTTGGTATGTATTGGTAGAGAGGTTTTTTCCTTCCTGGGAGAGTACATGCGATCAGCACAGGGCCAATTAGCACTGTCCAGACAGAGGTAAGGGATTCTGCATCCTCCTAGAGCAAAATAAAAACTCCTCCTACAAGCTTTAACCAGTGCTCTGCTGGACACTGATAGAAGTCACAAGACTGCTATATACTGCTGATGAGAAAAGGTATTTAGCAGTTTATATTTACTAAAATAATTGCATTTCCATGTTCTGTGTACTGTGGGAGACCAGATATAGTGAATGCAGGGTCCTGGGTTTAGTAACACTTTAAGCACATCAGTAAAAAGTTTTATAGGTAGATCTTAGAATGACGGTTCTGAGCACAGGTAGAGGACATCTTGTCTAAAGCTGACTATACAATGAAAGGGTTTTTTTTGTTCAGTCTGCAAGATTCATGATTCATTTCTATCTTGTTGCTGGAAAGATGGTGCCACATCAGTATTGCTGGAATACACAGGGAGAACATTCACCTGCTTTGTATGAGTGTCTGTTGGCCAGCTTTGGCTCCTTCACAGCCAAAAATGATTGAGATGATAAGTCATTGGTGAGAGACCAATAACTTGCTCCCTCAGGCAATTGTATACTTGCCTCAAACCAAAGTACTGAGTGTGATTTCTGTCTGCAGTCTGGTTCCTCTGCTATCTGCATGTCATTTCTAGCAGGCTGTACCAATTCCAAGGAGGGATGAGGAAGGGGTGCTCTAGCACACAGCCTGTAATTGACAGCTTTCAGCTGTGCATGTTTCCCTATGAGATTGTGTAGAAGAGGAGGGTGTCAATTCCCTCCACTCAGGTCTCAGTTTACACTGAGCTCTTCATCTCTGAGCTGTGCAGTGTGTGACATCAGATCCCCGTCCCTGCCTTTGGAAGCTCAGAATAGCTGTGCAAAATCTGGATTTTAAAGGGATGTAGAGAAGTATTGGCTGCAAATAAACAGGTACAGCCTATATAGGAGGATTTGTTTCATCTCTGTGTATCACCTGAGACCAGTCACTTCATTGGGTGTATGGATGGGTTTACAACCACTATAACCTTAGTGTTAGGGATTGACATTTCCTAATATATAAAAGTATAGCTAAAAATAAAAACACACACACAATGTTATTCACTTACAGTGTTAATTCAGTGCCTCGGGGTGATTTAGTCTACGTCTTAATATTACATGTAACCTTGTTGTAAATGTCTTTCTGGAAATAAATAAAAATGTTTCTGTTAAAAAAACAACACACATTAATATCCCAGTGCTTAGTGTATTGATATTGAAGTGCCCAGTGCAAAACAAACCAGGACTAGCCCATGTCTAGTATAAAGAATGAAAAAAGACAGTCCAAATACACCAGCAGAGAACAAAAAAACATAAGTCCACCCAAGAGTCAAAATTTCTGCCAAGTAAGTTTCAATTAAAGAAAGGTCATTGTACACTCTTCCAATGAACAGACGCGTATGCAATGTTTTCTTCTGGGCCCGTGTGAGCCTGTTCAAATCCAAATGACATTTGCAGTTTGTGTAGGGTTGTATTCTCCATGGTGACCCTCATGGGCCAGTGCCTAGGGCAGCAGGGTTGAAAAGGACAACACCAAGCCTCCGCATTTACAAGTCTTCATAGCTTTCTGTGTATGTTACTTTTCTGTTTTGTTCACTTCTGGACATTGGTGGGTTAGCAAGAGAACTGTAGGAAAAATGGGTTGCAGGGAATGATCAGAGTAGTCACAAGACCCTATAATTCAGGAAACATGAAAGCCTAACTACCTGTTTCATTTAACTTTAAATAGCTAACAGGGGCGGACTGACAACTCATGGGGCCCCGGGCAATAGGGGATCATGGGGCTCCTGCGTCCTTGCCCAAACTCAAAAAAGCCTATGAAAAAGGTACCAGGGGCATCTCATGGGGCCCCCTACTGACCCCGGGCCTTCGGGTAGTGCCCGAGTTTCTAAATGGTCAGTCCGACCCTGATAGCTAAGATGGTCCAAACAAACTATTTCCCCCACTAATACATGAGTGCAGTATACAGCACTGGGTTCCCGTAGAGGATTAACCCTTGCAGTGCAAGAGCTGCTCAATGTAACGTCATCTGCCCCGGGTTCTACCTCAGCCAATCAGAGGAAGCTTTGTATTCATTCAAAGAATGCAGAGCTCCCTATGAATGGCTGACTAGCACTTGGCCCAACTCCATTTTGTTCCAGGAACAGGACAGGAAGGTCTGTTACTGCTGCCAGAACACAGCACTGTGTACTGTATGAAAAAAACAAAGTAGTGTTCCCCCTGCGCTTAATATGTACCTAAAAAGATACTAAGCAGCTAGCACCTCAATCCTTTACTAATAGGTGAAAATGCCAAATAAACAATAATATGATGCAGCGCTATATATATATATATATATATATATACTATAAATAATCTCTAAATAATAATAATAAATGAACCAGTGATATGATCCTCACAGGATCTCTATTAGACGTGAAAACCAGTGAACAGATGTGAATCCACACAAGGTCCTATGCTTGGACCCAATAAGTGAACTAGTATATATAAGTGATGATCAAAACGCATGTAATCAACCCAATCTCTGTCACAGGATGAATAACATACACCAATTGTGTACACAATGAATCCCAAATGTGGGATATGAATATGACAAAGTGCTGTAAAGTGTATACACCTGTCTGTGTATACAGTGATTCCCAAATGCGGGATATATTACAACTGCGTGACAAAGTGTTCAGCCTGACCCTCGTAGGAGGTGGCAGCATTTTAGTGAAGCTCCTGCATGCCAAGGAAAAATACACCGATAGCTACCATATAACTACATGAAAGTAAGTTGGCATTTCTGAGGGTACCTATCTACCTATCCAGTGGAAGGGATATCTGTGTTGCTGTGTGGTGCCATTGTGGATAATGTCCCAGGAGATCAGATAGCAAGGAGTGTACATTCAGGAAGGATCCAGGTGTGATCCAAAAGGCGCATTGGCCCTTTGGGGTCGCTGGCTTGAGGTGAGAGGCCATTTTAGCCAGTGAAGGATTATCTATCGATGTGTTGTGCACATACACTACACATGTTGCATGCCCTGGAGCAGTGAAGCACCTTAGTTTCATATTTGCACTTTAATTGGACTTTTTATATATTTTTTTCATGTATTGATTTATTGATTGTGTTTTTTTACATGCTTATTGCTTTGAGCACTTTGTCACGCAGTTGTAATATATCCCACATTTGGGATTCACTGTATACACAGACAGGTGTATACACTTTACAGCACTTTGTCATATTCATATCGCACATTTGGGATTCACTGTGTACACAATTAGTGTATGTTATTCATCCCGTAACAGGGAATGGGTTGATTAAATGCGTTTTGTTCATCACTTATGGTGATGGGACCTTGTGTGTGGATTCACATCTGTTCACTGGTTTTCACGTCTAATAGAGATCCTGTGAGGATCTTATCACTGGTTCATTTATTATTATTTATTTAAAGTTTATTCATAGTATATACTGTATATATATATATATACATATAGCACTGCACCATATTATTGTTTACTGTGTACTGTAAGGCTGATGCATCATACAGTTCATACAGCGCTCACCGAAGGTGCAGGTATTAGTGAAAGAAATCGCTCATTTGGTTCATTTGGAACCGGCTTGGCTCTAACAAACTATCAAGGCAATCCTTTATGCTATCTAATGGTCTGTACTGTCACATAAAAAAAAAAAAAGTATATCAATTAGATCCCATACTGCTTTACTGCTAATACTACTACTATTACTACTACCACTACTACTGCTACCACACCTACTACCACTATTACTACTACCACCACTACTACTACTACTACCACCACTATTACTACTACCACTACTACTACTACTGGCATTATTTAATTTGTTTTCTATTGCTTTCTTATTGCTTTAGATCTACTAGTGACTAGTGCTTTAAAGGGGCATTACACAAGTCAATTGCTGCTTTCAAAGGGGGTGCTGTTCTTCCCTTTCTTTATTGCATTGTTCTCCAGAGAACCATTATGCACACTTCCTCTAATTGTGCACTAACTGGGCCCTATCACACGCGCAGAAGACTCCTCACTACATTTAAGAGAACATTGGGTGTTTTGAATTAAAGAGCTATTTTCTTATTTCAGGCTACCTCCCTCCCATCAGGTCTTGAGGGCCCAAAGTGAGCTAGTCTACCTGTTTGGTTGTTCTGCTCACTGGGGACTGTAAGACCACCTCAGGTTGAAAGTATTGGGTTGGTTTCTGAAAAGCAGGCCTGCCAACACTAACTGAGACTCTGTGGTAAGTGTTGTCTTTTTCTTGTTTAAAGCTGACACAAGTGATAACTGACTCTACACATGCCAATTCTGTTTTTGCTGTGTAACCAAGATACATTAGAGTTTGCTATAAACCTCTCACCAGTTTACCCCAATCAGTGTGTGAGTCTACTTTTTGGTGGTCCAGAGCAATAGGGAGCCTGAAAATAATCCAGTGCTACATCTTGATTCCTCTTCATCCAGAACTCTATATATGACTTACCATATGTTGATTCCTCTTCATCCAAACCTCCATATATGACCTAGTATATGTTGATTCCTCTTTATCCAGAACTTCATATATTAACAACTGTAGAATATGATGATTCCTCTTCATCTAGACCTCCATATATGGCTTAGTATACTGCATGTTGATTCCCCTTCATCCAGACCTTCATATACAGTATGACCAAGTGTATGTTGGCTCCTTTTCATCCAGACCTCCATATATGACCTAGTATATGTTGATTCCGATTCATTCATACCTCCATATATGACCTAGTACATGTTGATTCCTCTTAATCCAGAACTTCATATATTACCAACTGTAGCATATGTTGATTCCTCTTCTTCCATATATGACAGTATATATATGTTGATTCCTCTTCTTCCAGACCTTCTCATATGACCTAGCATATGTTGATTCCTCTTCGTCCAGTCCTCCATATATGATCTAGTATATGTTGATTAGGTCTGAAAAAAATTGATGCCATGTGAATTTTGTAAAATATATATATAAACTGTTGCATGTAGAACAAGAAGGGAGCCAGATTACAATGTGATGCAGGGATGCTGAAATAATAGATATAGGTGCCCTCAGGTCCCTGCTTACCCAACATTATGGGGATGAGGAGGGCCGGGATGGTGACTACCCCTCCTCGCTATGATACATGACTATGGAATTTAGTGTGGTCTGCGTTCCTTTTCTTTCCACTTGCTCACTAG